CATTCGAAATAAAGAAAGTCATTCACCGTATATATGTTTGAAGACACCTATTAACCACCTCTATACGGCCATCCATTTGAGGATGGTAAGCGGTGGAATATTTTAGAGTAACCCACGATAAGAGAATAACCCCTTCCAAAATTTGCTAAGAAAAATGGGATCCTTATCAGAAATAATGTTCGGTGGCGAGGCCATGAAGCTTATAAACTGTTCCATGAATGCTTTAGCCATAGAACTCGCGGTATAAGAATGAAGTTTAAAGCTACAAAGTGTGCATATTTTATCAATCTATCCACCATAACCAATGTAATAGATTTCCCTTAGGACGAGGGCAAACCTTGATAAAGTCTATAGTAACATCGTAAGAATAAACTAAGGTAAGGGGAGTGGATTTAACGGGCCTAAATTAGCCACGTTCTCATATTTACAAGTCGACATATTCCACGAGTCACGATGTACTCCACGACCTCCTTGCTTAAACCTCTACTAATAGAATAGTAATGCGAAGTTTCTCTCTTGTAACCTTCACTCCAAAGTGGCCTCCTATTGTCTAGTCATGAAAATAAGAGATTAACTTTTTATGTAAGTTTGGATCCTTCCACTACCACTAGCTTTCCCTTTCGTCTCAACTAGTTATCATGCTTAGCTATATTTAGATGAAGTTTACGGAGAAACTTGCGGCTCACTTATAAAGTCTTGCTACTGAGTAGGATACGATACTCAAGAGTGCTTGATCTTGTTCATTAGTTCAATATCTGCGAAGATATAATCATGGTGGATAACTTGGATAGAACATCGGCCACCAAGTTTTCCTTCCCTTTTTTATACACGATCTCATAATCACACCCTATGAGTTTCACCAGCCAGTTAAAGCCGACTAGCCGTATGTAACTTCACTCCGATAAGTGCTTGAGGCTTTTGTGGTCGATCTAATGAAAAAATGACTATCAACAAAATAGGGATGCCATTTTTTAACATTAAATAAAATGGCAATCAATTCCTTTACGTATACTAAAAGGGATTGATACTTAAGAGAGAGACTCTTATTGATATAAGCAATCGGGTGACCACTTTTGCATCACATGACAACCACATGCCTCTATCGAAGCATCTGTTTCTATTACAAATTCATCCCCCATGCGTGGTAATGCAAGTACATGTGTTGTGGTCATAGCTTTCTTCGATCCGGTAAAAGCTTCCTCTGCGCGATAGACTCGATGCAAAGGCATCCTTGCTTGACAATTCTATCGAAGGCACGGCTATCTTCCCGTAGTCCTTCACAAATCTCTTATAGTATCTGTTAGACCTAAGAACCCCCTCGATTGCTTGACGATCTTAGGTATAGGCCATTCTTTGCCTGACTTTTATCTTCTTGGCATCGGTTTAGACTCCTTCTTTAGAAATATAATGCCACTAAATACTCCACACATGTAGCTCCGAATAGGCATTTGGATTTTTTGGCAAACAAGGTATTTTCTCTCAAAATGGACATAGTAGTTTGTAAATGAAAAGCATGATCCTGTAAATTTTTGCTAAAAACTAAAATATCGTCAAAAAATACTAAAATGAATTTTCATAAAAAAGGTCAAAAAACATCATTCATAAGGGATTAGAAGGTTATAGGAGCATTAGTTAGACCAAATGGAATAACTAAGTACTCGTAATGCCTATTATGAGTTCTAAAAGATGCTTTTGGTATGTCTAAATCATGCATGCGAATTTGGTGATAACTCGACTCGCGAAATCCAATTTTGAAAACACGGTTGATCCTTGCAATTCATCCAAAAGTTTCTCGATCACGGGAATTGGAAATTGATATTTGATAGTCAATTGATTCGGCCTCACTGTAATCTACGCACATCCTCCATGTGCCATCCTTTTTTACTAACACCACGGACGAAGAGAAGGGACTATTCTTGCTTTGAATTATCCCATTCTCTAGTATTTCCTTAACTTTCTTGCTTTCATCTCATTTTTTTAGTAGAATGATACTGTATGGCTTCATACTCACGGGTTCGACCCCCTCTTTAAGGATAATTATGTGGTCATGCATTCTTGGTGGAGGTAACCCCTTAGTTTTTGCAAACACGTCGTCAAATCTATCTAGTATACTTGTTAACTCTAAAGGAGTTGGTGCATTACCTTATTCCTCAATTTGCAGTGCCATATCTTCCATCGCCATCGGTGAGCTTAATTAAATCCAATTAAGTGAATTTCATCTACAAATAGCCTTATCAACCTCCTTATCCTCCCGACTTTTACTACGGTAACACTCTTCCCTTATAACACCACTCACTTCACTAGTAAGTTTAAATTTTATCCACATCTATCTAAAATTCCATGTAATATCACACTAAAGCATATAACCATGCTCCCCAAAAATCATATCATATAAACCTAATTGCATAACAAAAATTATTTTCTCAAAAGTTTCCCCTTGTATTTTCCATTTGAACTCCTTACACATATATTCACATACAATGTCATTATCGTCGGCTACCCTCGATCGGCGGGTGCAATTTTAACCAATTCACACTTGTTCAACCTAACAAATCTCACATCAACAAAGTTATGAGTACTTGCTAGTGTCCACCGGAATGTTCATTCGTTTATTACGCAACTTCCCTACAATTTTCATAGTTTGATAATTTTCTCCACCAAAAAGCTGCAAATACGAATATCTCATATAGCTCACTCTCTGAATTTTTCCCTATTTTGCATATCCTCCTCTGCTAACTCGACATCTACTTACTTGGAATCCTCACCCTCCCTTCCATCTTCTTCCACTTCTAACATGAATACTTGCCTACCCTTGCACTTATGCCACAGTGCATACTTCTCCTCACAAAAGTCACGCTTGTCCACTTGACCTCCTTGTTACTAGGTAGTCTCTTGGTTCTAAACATCTGAGTTGCCATCCTAAAATTGATTCGGTAATGGTAACAAGCCTTTTTGGGTATTGGGAGGGTTGTGGTTATAGGACGTAGGTAGATTTTGATTTGAAAAGTTTGTAGGTTGTAGGTATTATTTTTGTTCAATCTTGGGTTGAAAACAAGAATGGTGTTTGATTTACGATTTAGTAACGAAGGATTATGGTAGTTGAGTGCTGTTGGATTGTTGTTGAACAATAGGATGTGTTTCTTGTAGTTTGGCTATGGCCACGAGCTTCTTTAAGAGTCTTGGGTCTCATTACCTTAACTAGTACTTGTAACTTAGGTCTTAAGCCACCAATGAAGCGATTAATGATGTCCTTAGGTAGAACTAACCTATTAACCACATAAATGAATTTCTTAAGGAAGGTTTGAACATCACTAGTTTGTCTAATTTCCATCGGTTACTGCCATTGGATTGTTGAAAATCATAGCACCAAAACGAACACTTATAACTTGACATAATCTTCCCACCTCACAACGGAATTAACTCCATTCATTCTCATGATGACTTGATGCCATTCGAGAGCCTCTTCTTCAAGTGTATAGCGGCCAAATTAAGCTTAGCTTCCTCGGGAGTTCTATCAATTAGAAAAAAACTTTTCACATCTAAAAATCTATCCTTGAAAGTCTTCTCTAGCAAATCTTAACAATTCGACTCTACTCGTCCTAGTATTAAAGGAGTAACCGGTGTTATCTACTACACCATTGTTATTTATCACTCCGTTCATTGGATACCCACTGCTAGGCATTCTATATCCCTTATCATTCAAATTGCCTATTTCTTCCTCCATATTATAGTTTTCTTTCTCTGTATTGGAGCTTAAAGTGCGGTAACTAATTCCTTGACTCAACAATATCCTAATCATGTTTGCAAAAATTGAATCACATCGTAAGGTAAGATCGGTTATTACCTTAGTGAGTGTAGCAATTGATTCTTCCATCTTTTTGAGATCGGCATTTCCTTTCGCCATAATTGTTAATTTTTCTAGAATCCACAAGTGCTAGAATAAGCTTTGATACCAATTGATGCAATCTCAAATTCAAGTAACAAAAACAATTGAAAATATTACAAGTTATTGAAAAGGAAAACCAATTTTATTGAATGAAAAACACAAACAACGATAGCCTGTAGTGATTGGAATTGAAATACACGGAACTTATGAAGAATTGACAAATCAGAAGAATGACGGATGAGAGAGAATAATAGAGAGAAAAGCCAAAGAGAATTTCGGAGAGAAAATATAATGACAATGCCTAACCACTTACAATAAAACTCATTTCTCTATATCTTTACTCCCTCTCGGCTCTCAACCCACCTTAACTAACTTCCTAGCCGACCTACAGAAGACCGGATGGCATAAGTCACACAAAACCAACATCTAGAAGAGCGAAAGGTCTTGGTAGGCTTCAGTCGAGCGAGAGGCTTTGATGGCTACACAAACCGAGTCGATGATGAGTGTCATAAAAAATTCTCAAAACTCCTTTTTTTTTTTTAAGAACATAATAAAATTATAAGGAAATCTCACACAAGTTTATATTGATTAATTGAAAATTGATGAAAAAAGAACTATTTTTTTTAAAAAAAATAATCACTTCTAGTTGATGAAGAGCTAAATATGAAATTAAAATTAACATTAAATGCCAACATAATAAAAACAAGTGTAGGAAATAAATAAAAAAATAGATCAAAAAGTTGTACTTTCAAAATACAAACAACTTAAGCTTGATTTAAGGTTTGAATCACTAAAAAGATTTGGAATAGAATTTTCAAAGTTGATTTTTGACTTCGAAGGAGGTCTTTATTCCAGTAGATGAATCTATTTTTTTTTAATTGGATTTACAAACCCCTTAGGAATTTATTAATGGATTCAAGGAATCTACAAACATTATGAGACTTCCATTGATAATCTCGAGAATCTAAGTGTCCTTTTCTCCTCAAGATTCCAATCTGAATTTGAAAGTGAGAAGCATCAATTAATAGAAGGAAATTGAAGACAATGAACTAACACCTTCTCCCTTGTTCCCCAAATTGAAAAAAAATAAAAAAGTCAAATAAAGTAGCTCGTTTCAAATGGTAACACGAATTTTATCATCGAGCTGTAGTTCAAAAGGAAGATTCAAACCTTGACCATCACTAATGCCACGTAGACACCAACGAGTAAAAGGAGGAGAAGATCGAACTCGCTCGGCAACCTTCTACATGCTTGTTTGATCAATTTTATTCATTCGAAAAGCTGATGTACCAATGATTGGATCGAGTTTTAGGATCTTTTCCAAGTTGTTGGATGTTTGAATAAATTTATTACCATATTAAATTTAATAATTAATTTTGGATTGTATAAAAATATTTTAATTTTATGATGGACGGTTTATTACCAACTTTATATTTTAATTTTGTTTTGTTCAATTATTAAACGTGGAATTAGTTTTGTTTTTTTGTTTTTTTTTTTTTTTTTTTTTTTTTTTTTTTTTTTTTATGGTAGCAGATACTAGGCCTAAGAGCTCAAAAACAAAGAAACTAAAACTTCGACGACGGCCAATAGCTATTCCTGTGACATCCTAATGCAAGAGATCAACTATTTTTATAGGAAAGGAATCAAGATAATTAACTCCTAGTATTAGAATAAAGATTTTGAGATTAGCCAATCAATCTATACTACGATTTCCTTCTCTGAAAGCGTGAAAAACTCAAACTTTCCTATCGTAGCTGATAAATTTTAAGATTTCATGAAACAGAGGATCACAGGAACCACCATTTGAAGCCTCCTCCAGAACAGACGAGTCCATTTCCAGTATTACTCATTTGAATCAAAGCTGCCGAGCTAACTTGAGACCCAGCATAGCAGCCCACATTTCAGCCTTGGCAAAATTTGTCCTTTAGCACAAAGGAATTAAAATATCACGAAAAAAAAAACCTTGAAAGCCCTTCTTATTAATTGGGTTTCCTTAAAAAATACGAATGTCACTCTCTGTCGTGGTTATAAAGCTAGCTACTCCCTCAACATAGATAGAGTTCTTCATCTCTGTATAAAAACATACATAGAGCTCTCCTAGTTACGTTGGTTCAGGCTAAGGGTCCTTCATAATAGTTCAAAGTGCATGAGCTTTGCATTCGTGGTCCAATGTAAAAGGTGAGCCAAGGGCTACTGACCATCCCAAGGCAACATCTGTGGCTCTACCATCGGCATCCTGTGTATATGCAACAATGAACACCTGATGAGTAATTGGAATGATATGAGTCCTCATGCACATGCACAGGTTCAGTGCTATGCGTGTGCGCATGAATTGAGAGATAAAAAAAAAAAACGGAGAGAACCTGGTGGACAGATAAACTGGAATTAATTCCGGCACCATTTTTGATCTTCTGGCCTTGAACATGGTCTCTTCTTACAGAATGGGCCTCCACCAGGGGACACACAGCAACCACACTGATGTTCTTTGGGAAATCAAGTCCAATTGACTGCAAATGCTCAATAAGAAATCCATGGGGCAACCCAATCTTAAGCATAAAATTTCTCCTTTATGCCACAATATTCTAGGTAGTGAGCACATTTAAGAATCAACTTTGTTGTAAACGTAACCAAATACCCCAACTGCAAAAAAAAATAAACTTTAATCAAAGAGCACCATCAATGCTACTATCAGATTCATTCACAACTACTCAAGAACACTCATCAGGCTTGGGAGAAACAAATGCCAAGATCGCCCAATATCCTAACTAAACCTTGAACCAGACAGGAATTGACGGAATATAATTGTAAAACAGAACAGATGTCTGTAACCTGATAGTGCAATATACCTTTGCTAAAACATATTTTCATCCTACTTAGGTCACATACTTTAATTTCTCCAGAGTCAGGAAGAGTGTATCCACCTGAGAACCCCATCCAATCACACCAATCTGCTTAATTCCCTTGAATGCATCCCGAAGCAAGGGAAACAAATCCCTGCCTCCTCTCACAATGTACTGCAATACAATTGTATAAACCATCATCAATAACCAACGTTTCAAACACAAAAAAGAAAAACAAAACAGAAATCGAAAATCTAAGAAAAGCTAAGACGTTGCAATGAAATGCAAATCGTGTCTCTCTTACATAGCCTGATGGGGAGATCTTTTTACTGCTTTCAAAGCAGGTATGAAGACCAGGACTTACAGTACGCGGTAGCGGTGACTCTATATTTGCTGTGCCGTCCCCCGCGCAATCGCCTCCTCCATCTCCACCAATACCATTACTATTTTTAAGCAGCTTCGTAAAATTTTTCAAGACATGTGCAAAGAGGATGACAAGTGACAGCCACTGACCATGTTGCAGATATCCGATGGAGTTAGATGATTTTGGAGGAGCATTGAAGAAAGGGAGAGGAGCAGAGACGACGCACTGAGTTTCAAATCGTAATTCCTTTTCCTGACCACCGGCAGGGGAGATCTCTTCCTTCTTGCTGTAGGAGGTCCCGATACCAAGAGAAAATGAGGACGGTTTCTTATTATGATCAAAAGGTGCCAACGCCATTTTAGTTTTAGAACGGAGAGTTGCAGCCACTGGCTTGGGTTTGAGTGGTACGAAGGATAAGCGAGTTAAATTGGTGTTGCATCGAGATTTTGGTAGCGGTTTTGGAGTGGAAGAAGAGAAGTAAATTGCCGCCACTTCGGTGTAGAAAATGTAGCGGCTTTTTGAAATGGTAGGTGGATGTTTGGTTGGGTTTATTTATAAGCATAGACCTGCATGGTCTGCGTTTTCGGGCAAGGATATATCCGAAACATTAGGATACGTGCTAACCCGAAACATAAGTACACGAGACGATGAAGTGAAAGGCACCAATCTGAAGATTCAAACTAATATCCGCTAATAACTGCATAGTTCCAAGAATCTATGAACCCGACCCAATCCAACCCCAAATCTAATGTTTCATACGGCGTTGAATTTGTCGGCTTTGGATCCTGTGGTGACACATGGCACCATGAGGTTTCCGTCTCTTTTTTTGCGCGGTTTTAGAGACTAGTGGGCAAGTTAGTCATTTCATAGTTTTGAGTAGTTAGTGGTGCTGGTAATTTGATTTTTTGCAATACAATAAAACACTCCTGCAAGAAGCTTGTAAAGATCGCCTCACCCCTGGTTTTTATGGTGGCCCATAATTAATTTTGGGACATCTTGATGTAGCTAGTGCAGTGCTGGAATTCCTCTGATTTATGATGACTACTTACAAAGAAGAGTGGTGGAGATACTGAAGTAGGCCACTTTCTTGCAGGCTCTTTCCACACCAGGACATCAGATCCATACTTGACAAATTTTTAGAGCTCACAAGTTTTGGGACATCAGATCCTTATTTGATCCTTCTTTGTCATCTTTTTTCAGGAGATCTCTGGTAAGCACATGATTTCTTGGTGATGGATGTGACATTTATAATGTATATTTCTTCTTACTGTGCTTAGAGGGCGGTGATATAGTTTTTATCTTGTTCTATGAGAATTCGAGAGTTGATTATGTTACAAATGACTTTTTCCTTGCATAATAGATGGCTGAATATAATGCACTTGTTGAAATGTATGTTACTGATGGCATGGTAAGTGTTTATTCTCTTGATTTAAATTCCTTTTGGAAGTTTTTTGATGATATGTTTCTTTTTCAGAAAGTTTGGATAATTGATGGGAGTTGGCTTTTAGTCTTTTGTGGCATATACTTGAATGTGTGTGTATTCGCATGAATCTCATGCTTTGAAAATGTTTGAACTCTTTCCAATTTAACATTTATTTTTCTTGAAAGCGTATAGTCTTTCGCATTGGTAATATTAAGAAGAAAATGTCTCGCGGAATCAAAGACAAGTCCGAATTGATTGAAGAATACATTATTGGATTACTTGAAGAAATCAAAGGGTTTGTGGGAAATTGTGTGCTTGCACAGATGTAGGACTTCCATGGTGAGTGAAAAGAAATTTTAATTGCGGAAGTAGTGAAGAGCATTAGGGGATCATTTGAGGCTCCGTATTCTCAATCAGTACATCACATTTGTATCTTAATAAGCTATTTAAACTTTGCCTCTCATTGGGTAAGGCTTACTGAAGTATGAATTGCAATAGAAACAGATAGGCAAGTTGCTGGAAATGGATAGTTGGAGGGAGTATGAGTATGAAAGAGATGAAGATTGATTAAGAGCAGATTTGTTCCAGGAATAAAGCACGATTGGGAGGTTTTGTATTTCTTTTGAGGGAATAGGAGGGAAAAAGAAGAGTTAAAAAAACTTTAGATACTGAAGATTTATCATAAAGCTTGTACACATTGGAAGTAAATTAAGTTAGAATATAAAAAATGAGATATTTGTTGACTTTAATGCTTAGTTGGGATTTGGGTCCCGGGTAGCCCGCACCACAGTTTTACCTCTAGTATGGTCCCCATCTCCCTGCCTAGTATTTTGGCAGAAACCAAGCAATGAAGATGAACTAGGTAAAAGTTTAAGGGAAAAGATTAACCAAAAATTCTAGCATCGATCATTCATCCATATAAGTCATAATTAATATTTAAGCTGCTGAAATTGTGAGATTGAATGTTAAGGTTGAATCGCATTGAAATTATAGGAAAATCTATCTTAGATTAGAAGAGAGTGATTATCAGGTCTTAATTAACTGAAGAATACATTGAATGGAAGTTACACTTACAGGCACACCAGCAGGCAAACCAAGCTCATTCAATACCATAATCTAAAAGCATTTACGGAGTCCGAGGTTATTTTTTTCTGGTGACTCTAGCTCTAGTCTACCAAACATCCACTTACCATAGAATTAAACCAACATCCTTCCCTAGTTTGTGACTGTACTGGCCATGGAACCTTGTTCTTGGAACTCAACAAACATGTAAGGCTTTCATTTTGAGAGATTAAATGATGGGTTTATGGTGAATTCTGGGTTACAATCCAAAACCAGAAATGGTTTTGTTCAACTTCCTCTTTGGTTTTGGATAATGAAAGAGGAGCGCTTGTGGAGGCTACTGTTAGAGTGGAGAGAAAAGGATTGTCTGCAGAGAGGAGCGCTGCTGCTTTTGGAAATCATAGTGAGGCAGAGAAAAAACAATAGAGCCAGGATCACATCTTGATACACATAGGAGCCTAGAGAGTGTAAATAAAACGGTTGGAAAAGGGAGCAAAATGCTTGCTTCCAGAGCTTTTTTTTTCTTTGTTCTGATCACATTAAAAAAAGTGTAATTATTGGCAAGTAGCGACCAAAGACAAGGAGAAAGGACAAATGTCGTTGTTGTGTACGGATAGAACCGCACTTCTAAAAGGATCTTAATTGTTACAAGGACAGGAAGCAAAAAAGTAGAACTATCAACATCCAATAAGGGGTTTTCAAGTATCCCAGAACCAAAACCAAAAGCCAACATCTAGAAGAACCGAAAGGTTGAAGATAGGTTTCAACAGGACAGAGATTATACGACCATATGAATCGAGTCTGATAATGAGTGTAATTAAAAATTTTATGGGATTTGGTATCCTCAAAACTACTTCTAGAAAAAAAGAACATAATAAAATTATAAGAAAAGGCCACAAAAGTTTATATTGATTAATTAAAATATTAACGAAAAAAGAACTAAAAAAAGTTTAGATAGTCCATTCTAGTTGATAAGAACACGAATAATCAGAGCTTGATTTACATGCTGAATGGTAAGAAAGGTTTGGAATAGAATTTTCAAAGTAGGTTTTTTAACTTCGAAGGCGGTCTTTAAACTGTAGAAACACAGGATGCCCATTTTAACTTCGATGTGGATAAAACAAGGAGGCCATTAAAATAAGCTAATGATCCATAATCTTATAAATATGCGCAGAAACCAAACCCCACAGGAATTTATTAGTGTATTCAAATAATCTACTAATTTT